TGGGCAGAGCACAGATAGCCCATTCTGTAGCTTTGTGCTTAACTCCAAACAAACAATCCTCGCGTATTCTCAAACGTTAAAATTTTGTTACCATTTTTCTAAACTATTCAATTTTAAGAGACTGGAGAACAGAGTTGCTTGTTTAGTATTTAGAAAATGAATAACAAATGATTCATAATTGTGCCTATACTATAAGATAAATTAAATTTGGATCAAGTGATTTAACTTATTCAGTGATAAGCCTTATTTTATTTATAAAATGTCTTTGGAGACAATTTTTGTAATGTGTGTGTATGAGTATGAATAACTTAATTGGGCAGTGTCTTCCGTTTTATAGTGTTCAAAACACACTGAATCATGTGAGCTTGGCATGGACTGGTAATTAGGGTGCTCGACTCGCAATATTCGGGTCGAGCGTTCGAATTCCCGTAACCGAACATGCTTGCTCTTTCAGCTGTGGGGGCGTTATAATGTGATGGTCAATCCCACTCTTCGTTGGTAAAAGAGTAGCCCAAGAGTTGGTGGTGTTGATAAGCTGCCTTTAGTCTATCACTTCTAAATCATAGACGGCTAGCCCTAGAGTAGCTTTGCGCGAAATTCAACAAATAAACTAAATCATCTTTCTCTAAAGTCAAATTTGGAATCTTCACTAAATTTGAAAACTATAAGACAGTAGAATCAACTTAAACATATTAATAAGTATTACGTATTTATTCATTCTTAAACTGGGCCGAGCCCGATCTTGTGGTCAACGACCTGTGAAGCTGAGGTTCCAAGGTTCGTGTCCCGTTACTGCCAAAAACAAATAAACAAGAAAAAAAAACGCTATGTACTTTTGGTTGTGAGCACGTTATAAGAGTACGGTCAAATCCCACTATTCGAGCTGACAATAGTAGTCGGTTGTGATGTTGACTAGGAGCCTTCCCTCTTGTTTAGCACCTCTAAGTTAAGGACGACTAGCGCAGATAGATCTCAAGTAGATTTGCGCGAAATCCAACAAACTATGACACTTAAGCCAAAAATCATGACTTATTAAATTTGTACATACATATGTACATCGTACACTTTTTGGGGAGTGTAGCTCTCCACATGAATTAGGGAATAAAGAATTTCGTTCTAGGACATTATTCTATGAAAAAAAAATACACGTGTATTTGGTAGCTTAACAATATACACCAAAATTACTTTCATTATCAATTATTTTTGAAGCTTCTACTTATGGCAATATTTATACAAGTATCGTTTTAATTCGTTTAATGTATGTTATTAATGTGCTTGGTTTTAACTTGAGAACAGACTTGTATATTGACATGGTACCATCAAAGAACATGTACTTGATAGCTAAAATAAAATATTAGTAATTGTCGTTTTGACATGTTGAGCTACCCTAACATATTAAATTTCATGTTTAAGTAATAACAGTAAAAACGAGAAATATCCTTATAAATCTATTGTGGAAACTACATTATAGTAAAAAACTCTTAAAAATAAAAAATTTTTTATTTGAAGTATTGTTATAGTTATGGATTCCTTAAACATAGGAATAGATTTTTGAGTTTTATCAAAGTTTATAACGAACAATATCTCGCATAAAGCGGCCGATGATTATCGTTTCACACACTTTGCTTGTCTCTCTGTATGTGTCTATTTGTGTACATTCCAGATAACGTAATTTCCCTGTCAAAAGCGACATAACCTCCAACAAACGAGCTTGTCTCCTCTTTGCCAAAGTTGGGGAGCTGCTTTCTCTGGCAAAAAAACATTGAGTTTGTTCTATATTTATGTGTAATTAAACTCAATTACCGGTAAATTGTATTGAGGGTAAAGCTCGTTTTTCACGTGACGTAAAAATGTTATAAAAAATTATGAAACTGTTTATCATACAGAAATAAGTAATTCTATAAGTACTTTGAAAACTGAATGATTAACGTTCACAATTAAATTAAAACAATAGAGAAATTATTTAGCCTCAAGGCTTTATTTAATTTTCATCAAAAAAATTTGAATGAATCAAACTAAGATTTGATAATTGGTAAATAGTGGTTATTAGACAAATTTTATTGTTCGAAATAATCAATGAAACACGATTTAAGTTATAATGAAATAAGGTTGCCCAGCGGTTATGGAAACATTAACTTTGCTATACAGAGCTGGCAGTGTGAAAATACAATATATATCTCTCAAATAAAGACTAACAAACCTAATTAAAATTCTGACACGTTTATGAAGATGTCTTTTTTAAAACTGAACAAAACCCTTATCGTACGTGTTTTATTTTTTGCTCAGTCGTGGTTTCCAAAAGAAATAATCGTTTATCACCAAACAAACAAAAACAAAACAAAACAAAAAATTAAACGCTTAGAGCTTAGGTTATATTTCATCAAACTAATTAACTCAACTGATAACTAAAACCTAACTCCGTAAATAATGTAGCTAATTTGATATATTGGTCTACCTAAAACAAAAAGTATAATTCTATACCTATTCGTCAGTTATGTGGGAATATGTTTGTTCGCGAACTCCTCCAACAGCCTTTATAGATCAAACTTGACAGGAGGACCCGAGGTGGCCAAGAAAAAGTTCATTTCTATATGTCATAGCCCTACTACCAAAGGAATACTAAGGTGCTAAAACGGGGCCGAAAGGTCACCCAGGGATTATGGATCATGGGAGTAGGTTTTAGAGTCGCTGGACCTGAATCTGGCGTTGGACCAAACTTGGCACACGTGCTTAGATATCCTCCCCCGTAGGGTAGCTATAAAAGTTATTGGCGATAATGGAGAAGCTTGATCGGTACGTTGGGATCTTTGTGAATCATCAGAGTGCCTTTGAACCTCACATGGGGGGAGGGCAGATATTTTATCTAGTTATTATAATGCACTGAATGATTGGTTAATGGCCCTCATTGTTCTTGAAATTTTCGGTTGTAATTCCAATAACATCTCACGAGGTTCGTCCAGCTTAGAAGATTTGACCTAACTCCACATATTAAGCTAACAATACAGAATAATCCTCATAATTAATACAATATGTATAATGAATAAATAAAATTTGATAAAAAGAATTATATGATATATATTAAACATTTTAACCAATAATTTTAATTAAATTAATGTTAAAAGTGAGAAAGGAATATAACATTATCATTCTCCAGATGTTACACGATCCATTGCTGTTCCGTGCTACCAAAAATACTTAAGGACATAAAAAATGTAGCTTACGTTACAAAGAAAAATGTACTTTCATAAGTTAAAAAAATACATAATTTGTTTTCAACTTTTATCTCGAAAACATACATCAAAACACTCAGGTGGGCAAAAACACAGACTTGAAGTATTCCAAGATATTTTGTTGAATAACACTTTTCTCACGAAATTAATAATAGAAAAATTATATTTATATATTTGTCATAAAAAGTGATTTTGAACAAACACCATTTCCAATTATTGAATCTATAACAAATGCACAATTAACTGATCTGGGTTGTTACCAGGGTTTAGAGTGAACCGAAACGACGTTTGCATCCTGTCTATTCAGGTCACTGGTCCTCATTACCAGTGACAATCAGAAAGTAACCAATAAAAGATTACAGCAACGTTTTAATGCTGGCGTGGGAGTTTTTCGTTATACAGTAATATAAAAATGTGGATTAAATGCAAATATTTAGGGGTGCTTAACACTTGTGCCGAAAGCTATGCATTTATAAGTATTTTGCCACACATGGGGTGTTAATCATGATTATATATTACTTAATGGTTATCACTACTTTTATATTTAGGTTTGTGTTAAGACAATTTTAGTAAGATAGTGATTTAGTATTTGAAAGTGAGAGATTATGATACTGATGACATCAATTTAAAACGATTCACTGTGTAATTAATCTTCGTGACAGACAAATGTTATTAAATAATTTAATTAGTAAGGAGATCTGATAAGCTTGTATGCTACGTGTAAACTTATCACCAGTATTCAGTCATCACAATTATAGATATAACTTCTATTATACAATATATTTGTATTTCTCTATGATAATAAAAATAATAAAATAATTAATTATTTGAATTACTATATGGAAGTGTGGAATCTAGCTCTTCCAAGAGAAAATGCTTAGTGATTGGAAAACATATGAAATATGATGAATATACAATCTCGGAAACAAAATAATAAATAACGCCAGCAAAATAATAAGTGTTTTGACCATTCATATCGTTATATATATGAAGATTGAAATGTGTACTATATTTTATTTTGGAGTTTCATTTTATATTTGTAGTTCATATTTTACAAAAACCCATACACCACACATGCACAAATATACATACACAACTTACTGTCTCCTTACACGCTATAGAAATGAATGAGCCCTTTTTTTGCCTTTAGTTTGAAGACTTGCATCTTATAAAGAAGAATGTGTTAGTGCTTTTTTTAGTTTATCATTTAACCTTAAGTCAGGTAATCTAAAGTTTTTATAAATGTATATGACATATTCGAAATATACTAGAAAACACCTATTAATCGGTGCATAATTTCCAAATAAACGGATCATTTTGAGTGTTAAAAATTGAATGTTTTCCATGTAATGTTTCAAGCGAAACTTATGCAACTGCTGAGCGCGAAAAATGAGATATCAGCTTTACAGTCATCGAAATCTAATCAAGAACTTAAGTTTCTTCTTAAAGACTTTCCATTTAACCTTATGACGAATTAGCATTTTTTTTTTAGGAAGTTATCACGTTTCTACTATATATGATTTTTCTTGTATGCTTTGTCGTAGGTGGAATACTGGCATCGCATTTATGTCGCAAAAATTCAGCAGGAAATAAATCTTACTGTCAAAATGACAGAGAGGATGGTGTGGTTTTTAAGTGCGACGAACAATTAATGTTAACGCAATATTCTTGTTGTACAGTTTAGTCAATTAGAAAACTCCTTTGCATTAATAAATCTTTGGAAACTAAAACAAAATATAAGCAGATAAAAAATATAGTTGACGCATCTTTTCCGTCATTACTGCCTATTGGACCAGTCTCTTCCATTTACCGCTGCTTTTTTGTTTCTTCTGGAATCTTTTTGAATACTGAAGACGATTTTCAAAAGATCAAAACGAATAAACAGCAACAAACTGGAAACGCTGAAAGAATAAATAACGGGATAGCGTAGTCCTTTTTCTTCATGAAAGAATTATTCTGGAAGTAAAAATTTAGTTTTAGGTAAAACGTTTCAAAATAGCTTTCATACATTTGGTTCAATTTTCGCACCAACATTACGTCATGTATCTGTAGATTTTAGTCATGAGGTAAATTTCGAAAATCTCATCTTTAATATACTTTTCTGTTACACGTATACACACATATATATATATATATATGTCAATGTTTTGATTTAATAGCCATATAATAACCATAATTTTATATATTGTGATATTCATAAGAAAGAAAATTACTTTCAAAAATTTTTACAAACATGTAAATCATTTTTTTTCATATTGGATTTCACAAACTTAGTTTCACGAAATGTAGGCCCGGCATGGCCAGGTGGTTATGGCGCTCGACTCGCAATCTGTGGGTCGCGGATTTGAATCCCCATGACACCAGGCCGTGGGGGCGTTATAATGTGACGGTCAATCCTACTATTCGTCGGTAAAAGAGTAGCCCAAAAGTTGGCGGTGGGTGGTGATGACTAGCTGCCTTCCCTCTAGTCTTACACTGCTAAATTAGGGACTGCTAGCGCAGAAGCCCTCGTGTAGCTTTGCGCGAAATCCATAACAAACAAACACGAAATGTACAAATTTAACTATACAGATATGCAGGTTTCCTTAGAAATATTCTTTAAGGACTTTATCGTCGTAAGTCCGGAAACTTACCATTGATCCATTGGGGTGAGAGGGGGCACAATGTTTTTAAATAAAACAAGATATTAAAACTACTCCATTTTTAAGGGCATACAGTTTCTAAAACTACGCCTTTAAACTGAGTGGGGCTGAGCGTGGTAAGTGGTTAGGGTGTCGGGTTGTGGATCCGACGTTTCGCTCTCCGCGCCTTCTTGCCGCAGAACAAAAATCGAGCTTCGCACTTTGGGGCCGTGACTGCATATTACTAGTAACGGTAAAATCCCACTATTATATTAGAGTATCCCACAAGTTGGCGGTAGGTGGTGCTCAGTAGCTGCCTTCCCTCTAATGTATCACTTCAAAATTAGAGATGGCTAGCGCAGGTATCCTCGAGTAGTTTTGCATGAAATTCAACAAACAAACAAACAGAATAAGACTCCTAAGACTCGGCTAGCTATAATAATAAAAAAAGAGCCTGTCTGTGTATATGTTTGTGTGTGACCACCATAGCTCCAAATCGAAAGAACCTAGAGACATGAAACTTTGCACGTATACTAAGGAGATTTTGAGGGTGTGCATCTTGGTATCATTTTTTAGATATTTTTTTACAATAATAAAAGAGCCTGTCTGTGTGTGTAGAGAATTCGGAGAATGAAAAGAAAAAAAAACACAGGAAGAAAAAACAAAAACAAATCCGATAAGTTAAATTAAAACTATTTGCTTTTAAGAAGAGTTGAATTGAATTAAGTTCGGGAAATGGCAACAGACAAATCAATTAAAGAATTGGCGCATTAAATTAACTATAGAAGTAATTAAGATAATGGAGACGCTTGACTGGTACATTGATGCCTCTGTGAATCATAAGGGGACCTTAGAATCCCGAAGCGGAGCGTTGGTATTTTATGCTAGTGAGGAATAAAATACTTTAAAATACTATAACACTCGTAAGAAATTGTTTGTTTTTTTAATTTCGCGCAAAGCTACACGAGAACTGTCTGCGCTAGCCGTCACTAATTTAGCAGTGTAAGACTAGAGGGAAGGCAGCTAGTCATCACCACCCACCGCCAACTCTTGTGCTACTCTTTTACAACGAATAGTGGGATTGACCGTCACATTATAACGCCCCCACGACTAAAAGGGCGAGCATGTTTGGTGTGACGGGGATTCGAACCCGCGACCCTCAGATTACGAGTCGAGCGCCCTAACCACCTGGCCATGCCGGGCCCATCGTAAGAAATAATTAATATAAAGGCATAACAACAATTACAAAGTATTTCGTTTAAAAAGGACACAAGACTGCAGTTTTATTAATTTTATTCTAAGAAATTTCAACTCTGCAAAATATGACCAAATTGTCGCAAAACACATACCTCCACCCACGTTTAGTCCACACACGCCTTTTCGTACATGGTAACCGCGAAAAGTTGCTTGAATTTTTGTCGCTGCTTTCAACAGGTTTGGATCACTTAAATCCATTTCATTAATCTGAACAAAATAAGTTTATTTGTTTTTTTCTCACTGAAATGAAATATTCAAAGTGACAGTGTAACACTTACAATGGTAATAAAAAAAACTAGGAAAACAACATCACATCGTTATTTTATTTCTATGTAATTTAATAAGAAATTCTAAATTGTTGGAAGTTAAAAAGGTGTATCTAATTTTAGAACAACTGGTTATACAAGTTTTTCTGTAAGTATAATGTATTTTACGTACTTAAATAAACAGGAAGATTTGTTTTTGACGATATAAATTATCTATTTACGATACTAAAGGCAAATTAATTTCATGTACATATACTTTCAGAGAACAACGTCGTATAAATGTTTTAATTTCCAACGGAAACTACACTATTTCTCATTAGCTCTTCTATAGTGTGTTAGCATTAGTTTTTAATGACATTCACACCAATGCTATGCTTTCATAGCAATAAATGTATTGTTACATATCGCATACAAATTAAACGAGAAATATACAATTGATTAGAAAGAGGGTTACCTTGTAGCTTATTAACAGTTATTTATTGTCCAAAGAATGTATTTTGTACATACTGATTGTTCTTGAGTCCATCCTGGTACTTTGTTGCCCTTTTCATGTGTCTTCAAGTATTTTCTAGCTTTGAAACCACGAAACGATGCTTGGATTTTAGTTACAGCCTTAGTGAGGTCCGTGTCATTTGAGTCGATTTCAAATATTTCTTCTTTAACGTGCTAAAATGGAGCACAAGATATTATGGAGTTCGAAAGCTGTAAATATTCATTATAAATCTCACACGTACGATTTCAGATAAGACGGCTAAGGGATACTATCACACAATGTACCTTTTAATAAATTACTACTGTAACATCCAACTGTTCTGAAGCAGAACTAGGATTTAATAAGAATCAAATACGATTACACACTAGTGTTTGTACAGCACTGAGAAGATTACAAACTAGTGTTTGTACAGCACTGAGAAGATTACAAACTAGTGTTTTTACAGCACTGAGGCGTGAACACTGTTCAAAATTAACTAAGAAATCTTGCCTTAGATAAACAAACTACTTTATTTGTGCTGAAGGTAATAATTCGCAATATGTTTCTAAACATAGATGTATTGGCAAAATTTACCTTAAGGATAGAGACCCTGATAGAGCCTTCATTTCCAATATAACTCCATGCAAAGTTGGAAGTAAGTTTTCTATGAATTCTGATAAAAGAGAAGGATACGACTAAGATTGTATCAAAATTCCCATAGAGAGTAAAAAACCTATAGCTGAGGACTCGTATCTTTTACTATAGGATACACATAGGACAAATACAAAAAAATACAAAATCTCCCTCAATATGTTATACATCATGTTTCATATTTGTAAACTGTTTAAGCTAATTTATTATTACTAGCAAAAAACGTCGCCCTATGGGCAGCTGTCTGCGCTAGTAATTACTAATCGTAGTATTCAAATTTCATTGAAAATTTTTTAGAAAAAGTGAACGTTTTTTTAAAAATGTGTTTTTTTTTCTGGGAAGTACTGCACGGGAAAAGTGTTCGGATTGTGCTCTTTAGTCATACGCAACTCATTGCATCAAAATGATTCCATGTACAGAGTTCAAAATTTTCATAAATTGTACTGATATAAACTGTAATGTTTGCATGTTAGAAATGTTACTGTTAGTTGAGAAAGATAACAGTTTAAGAACTCCGGTTTTTCAGTACTGCATTTAAAAATTACATCAATATAAATATAATGAAACCCTCACGCACAGTCCTAGTGAAAGTCGTGTTCTTGTTGTGAGGAGAGTACTTTTATTTAAAACTATTATAAAGAAATGGTTGTTGCACATACCACAGTTATTTTTCTAATTGTCTGAATCTTGAATACCCAGTGTGAAATTTTTTATGGATTTTTGTTTGTGGTGCCATTCAATAGATGGCGCAGAAGTTTTGGTTACATACATAAATACTGACATACACGCTACATCCATTGTTGAAAGATCTTGTTGTTGTTACTAATGAAAGTTAACAACACATTGATTTTAAAAACTCACAATTTTTTTAAAAACAACTATTATTTTATACACAATTTTATAAAAATGAGATTGTTTCCAGTCTCCAAATTACTAAAATACAATAACTTACTGTACAGGATAAAAAGTGGTCAAAAACCCCGATGAAACTGGAAAACCTGATGGTGACATAATCTCGTCGAAACGTTGTACATTTGTAATAAAGTTTCTTTCGCTTCCCATTCAAGCTGTCCCAACTCTTTATTTTCTAAAATGTGAGTCCCTCGTCATCAGATCTACAGGTTTTATTTAAGCTTTTGGCGTGCGATAATAATCTCTACAGCGATTTCTGTCGATACGATTTTAGGTGGCATTAAATTTAATGAAAATTACTACAGAAAATCACATGAAAAGGAATAATAAAATATGTTACACGTCCTGATAAAATGTATATAAAAAGCTAGTACAGAAAGTGTTTTGCAGCTAATTTGTATAAATAGTTATATGACTCATTATAAGCAATGCCTGTGCAAAACACATTCCCCATAAACACAGTAAATACTATTCGTTTCGCTCATTTGTATAAATAGTTATATGACTCATTATAAGCAATGCCTATGCAAAACACATTCCCCATAAACACAGTAAATACTATTCGTTTCGCTCATTTGTATAAATAGTTATATGACTCATTATAAGCAATGCCTATGCAAAACACATTCCCCATAAACACAGTAAATACTATTCGTTTCGCACAAGCCACCGACACTATGAAGCAGGAAATTTCGGATCAAATCACAGTTCTGAAAGTTGAAGTAGAAGACGATTAAATTATATACCTTGGGTTTTGTTTAGAGGAAGTACATTCAAAACATTTGAGTTCATGTGATACATTCTCTTCTTCTGACTGTACTACACTTACAGGTTTAGTTTCTTCTGTCTTCATTGTTTTCAGTTCTTTTCTTACTTTGTATCCACGGAATGATGCCTGGATTTTAGATGCAGCACGTGCTTCTTCAGGCGAAATTTTGCTTTCTGTTGTCAAAATAAACAGACTGCGTCAAAAAAAATGTGTCAAATAAAACTGATATGTTGTGTTATAACGACTTTCCGGTTATTTAAAAATGTTTACACACTTTTAAACATACGTTCTTCAAACGGGATATAAGTTTCATCCTAGTGTGAGCAAATCAAATATTTTTCTTTTGGATAAGGTGCTTCTTAGCCAAAATGGAGTTTATGCACAAAGGATAAATTATTTGGTTTAAATTACTCCTTGTGAAAACAAAAACGAAAAAAAAACACAAAAAAACATTAACATATTCCGGAATACTAAGTATCCGTAGAAGGCTTAAATAAAAAATAATACTTATTGTTGCAAACATGGTACTAAAAGCATGTCAAGACTTTTCTATAAGACATTATTACAGGTTATACCCTGTGCAAGAGAGAAATTTTATTGTCAACTTAGTTTTTGACATGATAATCACCATTCTTTCCTACAGTTAGAATTTTAAACATATTTTTACTAAACGATGAATAATGCAACATTGTTAATTGTAAAACAAAATTACATCATGAGAACTGCAATTTTGCTTATTACATGTAATTTACGTTCTACTTATTAAAGACATTAGTGGTACGATATAGACGCCATTGGTACAATAATGTGCTTGAGTGGTCTGTAAGAGGTTCCACTCGTGACATTAGTGGTACCATATAAACGCCATTGGTACAATAATGTGCTTGAGTGGTCTGTAAGAGGTTCCACTCGTGACATTAGTGGTACCATATAGACGCCATTGGTACAATAATGTGCTTGAGTGGTCTGTAAGAGGTTCCACTCGTGTCGAACTTTGTGCTTGTGGGCTACATGGTTAGAAAAACTTGATAATTCTTTTTTGGGTTGATAGACATCAAACCCTTTTATATCTTACAAGAAGCTGCTGATAATTAGAAAGTAAGAATCACTCAGTAAAAAATTAATGTTTCTATATTTAGTTTTTTTTTGATCCAAGATAAATTAAGAGCGTGAAAATACGTGACTCGTAAAAACTAGTACGACAATTTGTCGTTAAATCAGCAGAATCATGAAGCACGAAGACTTTTATAGATAAAACACTACAGTCCCCCGGGGGGGGGGCAGCGGTAAGTCTTCTAATTTACAACGCTAAAGTCAGGGGTTCTATTCCCTTCGGTGGACACAGTAGATAACCGAATGTGGCTTTGTTATGACAAAACACACACTGATTCACTCGAATCAAATTGCACATAATTTAATTGCTGAAGAAAACTGATTTATTACGACTATAAACTTGGCATAATGCTTTGTGTGCTTGTACTGGGAATCCGACGACTCATGGTTCACGATCCGTTTCTTCAAAAACGTGCTCGTAGTTTGGACTTTAGGTAAGCTATAAGAATGAAAAATTCCACTATTTGATCAGGCAAGAGAAGTCCAAGTGTTGGCGGTGGGCACTGATGATTGCTGTCTTCTCTAAAAGATAGCCCTTTGCGCGAAATTCTGAAAAACAAAAACATACATACACTTTCAAGCGAGTTGTGTTTTATTAATATATATATATATCATGACTAATGAAATCCAATACAGTCCCCTAGTGGTTCAGCACTAAGTTTGAAGGTTTATAACCGAATTCAATCCCCCGAGGTGGGCATAGTGCAGATAGGCCATTATGTAACTATGCGTTTAACAACAAATAAACAATATGAACACTCTCTTTAGTTCTTAACAATTCCCTCGTTTCAATACATTTTAGAACTCATGCTAGACGTTAATAATCCAACTAAACATGGTTTTATCATTACTTTGTTAATGAAAATATAACATTTATATAACTTGAAGATACTTCGATAGTTGATGTTTGAGCACTCATTTCAGCTGTGAGTAAAATTTGAAAAATATTTTAAGAGTGTAGCGAAACCTCATACACCTTTACTGAATTAAATTGAAATTTTTAGCAAATATGATTCAGGTATAGCCGTCCCTAATTTATAAAAAATGGTTTGTTTGGAATTAAGCACAAAGCTACACAATGGGCTATCTGTGCTCTGCCCACCACGGGTATCGAAACCCGGCTCCTAGCGTTCTTAGTCCGCAGACATACCGCTGTGCCACTGGGGGGACGTATAAAAGATGGAAGACAGTCAACTAGAAGCGAATTACACAACGTCTCAAACCTTAGATCTATCGCTCAGCAGTTCAACATGTTATCCAACACGCCACTTTCGGTCAACATAAAAATTAATTATGGTATCAAGTTTTACTTACTGGAGAATAAGATAAAACTGTTGATTTTTATAGCAGATTCTATCCCAACGCTTTGAACACAATCAACAAAGCACATATAAACTCAGTACTGAAAATTTATCTTTTTTTAGTTCAATTTTAATTAAAAGAAGTTTTAACTTATAAATGAGGTAGAACCGGTTATTGCTTAAGGCCAGACAGAAAAGGCGCTTGGGGTAATCAAATTGCACTTGTCTGTGGAGGTCTCAAATTTGTTAGATTAAAAAAGTTTGACTACATAAGAGTTGAAAAATAGTTTACTTTTTTCGTATATATTATGCGATTTGAATTCTCAGGTGTTTGTACATACTACAAATCCTTATTCATACCAATAATTTTTAAAAATGCCTTAGGGTTCAAAACTTACACGTGGCCATATGTATTAATAAACATTGGTTTGATTTGTTATCAATTTCGTGCAAAGCTACACGAGGGCTATCTGCGCTAGCCGTCGCTAATTTAGCAGTATAAGACTAAAGGGAAGGCAGCTGGTCATCAACACCCACCGCCAACTCTTGGGCAACTTTTTTAATAACGAATAGTGGGATTGACCGTCACATTATAACGCCCCCACGGCTGAAAGGGCGAGCATGTTTGGTGTGACGGGGGTTCGAACCCTCGACCGGCAGATTGCGAGTAGAGCGCCCTAACCACCTGGCCATTAATAAACATATTTGTAACATCATTATTATGAGTCACTTTACTCTATATCGTTCACCAGATACGTATATTTTGTACATAATATTATATTTAAAGTTTTGAATGCATCATTGTAAAAAAGAAAGTTCACCTCATGTTTGACCGTAATTACTAAATAGCTTCCATATATCTATTTCATTCAAATTGAGATTTTTCATTCCATCAAGATATGTGCATATACTGTTTATTCAAATGGCTCATAGAATTGCTGTGAAATATCCTGCAAATGGTGAGATAAGTTAAATCAAAATATGAATAACTAGAAATATATGAAACCAATGCTATTCTCTTCAGTTTAAAAATTCTTAATGCGACTGCTCGTTAAACATGCACGAAACAAGTCGAGTTAGTGACAAATAACGCCGTAAATGTTTTAGTGAGAGAGAGATATCTTCAAAAATAGGACCCACACAGATGCAGGGGTATCTTCTTATCAGATTTAACTGCTAAGTCAACCCTCACGCGTGGAAGAAAGAATAAAAAAGAATATGTAACAGATAGGGGTGCTCAACCCTAAAACGTCCCACGTATAAAATTACAGTTCTCCGTCTGCAGGAAGTTGTCGGAATGTAATTGCCCCAAATGAAACAGTTATAAAGATAGGAAAAAAAAAGACACAAACAGATCACTAAGGATGGAAACTAAAACTTATTTACAATAAAGTTTAAATCCACACTAACGGAACAATAACAAATTTATATGAAAACTAGTATCGACATTTGGTATTATTCCGTTAAATTGGATTTAAAATTTATTGTAAATTACTTTACACGGTATTGCGTATTTGACTATTTTTTAAAACTTATTTCTTGAAGCTGTCATTCCAACCCCTGTATGAAGAGTACAATAAAATCTAAGATGTCTTTATTCAAATCTATTAATATTAAACGAGTGAAAATGTAGTTTGTTGAATGAGTTTATTGCTACTTTTCGTTTTGTAATTGGGGAGGTAATCCTATTTTTCGTTCTTTAATAATGGTACTTTTCGATTTTTGTCTTGTTGTTTGAAGAGTTGTTTTAAAATGTCATCCAAGGCAAAGAAATGTTTTTGTGATTTCTTCCTTTTATATGTTAAAAATAACACAAGTGCCATGTAATTTTTGTAAATAAATAACTACAAACTAGCGATCACATATATTTCATTATACGTATATATACGTTTTAGCCGCGGCATAACGGCTCATAGAATGCCTCTGTACAAGTATAAACTTTCAGATCTGTCAACTCTTGACCGATTTGAGATCTAATTACAGTTTTCGACTCAGGAGGTCAAACCCTTTCGATTGTGGGTTGGCTGATATATATCCTGATGAGTAATAAAACCGCACAAAAATATAGCTAATAAAAAGAGAAAATAGATCTCGTAAGTTAATTTACTCTAATCCTGCCTAAAAGAATTTCAAGTGCCGCGGCTATTGAGGATTCCCTCTTGTTTGTGAAGACAATGTAGAATCCAAACGAATTTGAACATCATTAATATTTTACATGACCGTCTAAAAGGAATAGTGCACGAAGAGTCTTCATTCAATACGAAGTATATCTGGCGAATCATTAGTTCATGAAAATAAGCAAAAAAGTTAGTTTTTATATATAGACTGACAGAACTGTATAAAATATAAAGTATTTTGATCTCTCACCAAATAAAAATATTTTCAAATAACACAAGCTGGTTACTGTATACTGAAGGCTTCCTTAGGAAGATGTTATTCAAATCACTTCTAGTTACTGTATACTGAAGGCTTCCTTAGGAAGAAGTTATTCAAATCACTTCTAGTTACTGTATACTGAAGGCTTCCTTAGGAAGAAGTTCTTCAAATCACTCCTGGTTACAGTATACTGAAAGCTTCCTTAGGAAGAAGTTCTTTAAATCACTCCTGATTACTGTATACTGAAGGTTTTCTTAGGAATAAGTTCTTCAAATCACTCCTGGTTACTGTATACTGAAGGCTTCCTAAGGAAGAAGTTCTTTAAATCACTTCTAGTTACTGTATACTGAAGGCTTCCTAAG